TTTTCTTCATCACAATTAAGTAATTTTGAGAAGATTTTATGTTCATTTGTATATATATTTTATTTTTTATGTTTTACTGGTTAAATACTTTTTAAATAATGTATATAATATTATAATTTTTAGAAGTTAATTTTTGGCCAGATTTGTACTTTACTTTGTATTACTCATCATTGTTATTCTTAAGGGACTTAGCCCCAGAATAAAGTTTAATTTTCTATTCTATTCTATTCTATTCTATATACTCGAATCCACGAATCTTTCGGGTACTTAGTATTTATATGTTGAAGCGAAACAGATTTTAAGAGTTCCTGGGGAATATTCTTATGATAGCAGGAATGGACAGAACAATTTGTGGTTTCGGAGATTCAATCCAGGGAGGTTAATCTTGTACTGATGTTGACCGTTCTACAGACACTTGCTTTTCGTACATTTCAGAAACCAGTTTTGTAGTTGTGTGAAGTATGCTTTGCCGTTTTAGCCTGTACATATTGATTTCTTTCACTCTTTTCTGAAAGAGATAATTTGGAACGGACTTTGCTTTTGCATCTAGGTGCAAGAGTTTCACATCCATACTATTCTTTATTCAGGGAAGCTTCGCAATTGACTCCATTTTTTCAACAGGCGTTGACTTCATTGCTCCTGTTATAATTCTTAGCCACTGGTCTTGCACAGTTGAGATCCTCCGAAGGTTCGAGGCTGCCTAACGTGTGCAGTATATAATGACCTTAGTATTTTCATGTCTGTGCCCCAGTCAGAGCAGGCTATTTTCCTCATAAGGGCAGTTCTTGACATTCCTTTACGAATAGACTGCTCGATATGGGGTTTCCACGTAAGTCTTTGGTCAAGCTTGATACCAAGGTAAGTGGTTGTTTCATCCCTGGTTAGATTATCTTGATTAAGAGTTAGGTTAAGGATAATTTGAGGGATTCGAGCAGGATGCGACATAGGTCGCGCACGGACGGTCTTGGGAAGAGAGGAGGTTTCGGTCCTTAGCCTCGACTGTTCCCCTGTGGCTGGAGAAATGGGAGAACCCGTATTCCAGGTCCAGTCCACCTCTTGGCCCAAATCATTTAATATCTTGTCAATCTTAACAAAATATTGGGAATATATAGGAACGAAAAGCTAAAAATGTACATAAGTAATTACATTTTCACATATCCATCCATTCACATTCATTAAATTTGCCACTGCACCGTAACGTACCAAGTCAATGTGATGCCGTTTTCTGTCTGCTGTTATTCTTGATGCTTGTTTACATTGTCAGCAGGAGATCTTTAGGCCACTGAGCTTTTAATCGTCGTTGAGGCCCTTTAAGTAGCAGGGAGGAAGAAAGAGACAGGACGAGTGGATTTGGATGACTTAGAGTAGAAGAATGAAATGTTGTGTATGTAGGATTTAACTTTATTAATGTTCATGTCTTCGTTTATGGAGTGATTTAAAATTAATCAAGGAGCATTAACGATTTTAAGAAGTATTTTGGATTGTGTGGTTTAAATTTTGTTTATGTGTTTTTGTGTGTTTTGTGAAACCCCAAAGTTCTACTCTGTATGTCCAAATAGGTCTTAGTATGGTGGTGTAGATTAGTCGTATGTTTTGTAACTTGAGTAAAGATCTAAAATCAGCCAATAGTAATTGATCTGTAGTGTGCCAATAGTAAAAATAGCAACACCGGAGACCAGATAGAGGACGCTGACGATTCCATTACAATCCTAGTAATAGTAAAGTCATAATAGTCGTTCATAGCCTACTCATGTATATTTGTGTTGGCAAAGTATTTAATTATATGCTTTGTCTAGGTACTAAGACAAAATTTAACACAATCCTACATTTAAATAAAGGCTACATTATAATAATATAAAAAACATCCTTGAATCAAAGATTATATAAATGCGTTATAACGTTGTGGCTCTGAGAACAACCTTACTCCTGCATGACAAGCAATTATTACCACATCCAGCTGTCTTTCGTTTCTTGCCTGAGGCTGAACGTAAGTTCTATTTTATTTATTCATTACACTGTCATACAAACATTATATATATATACATATATATATATATATATATATATATATATATATATATATATATATATACATATTAAGATATGTAAGGGCTATCTTACACTATCATTCGAGGCCACAATATTATTGGCAGGGCTGTTGCCAATCCAAATGAAGATTGAAGAACGAACGACCTTATATAACATTAGAAAAGGAAAGAGAGGATACAAAGACCTGAACCTAGACAAAATAGAAAGAATCACTGACTGTAAATCTTGGTTACACCCTGCAACAAGTTTATGGACTGGACCGGGAATTACTTCTGAAAATACTGATGTTTTCACTGATGGTAGTAAGGACGGCGAGAATGTTGGATGTGCATGGTTGTTCAGAGCTCAAGATGGTAGGAATATAGAACATCAATATAAATTAGAATCATATTGCTCAAATAATCAGGCAGAAAAATTCGCTGTTTTAAAGGTTACTGAATACATATATGAATACCCTCTACAAACGAATACTCACGTTACTATAAATACAGACAACAAAGTTCTTCTAGACTCTGTTAATAATTGGGACATTCATGATTACTTGACTGACCAAATTAGAAACAAATTGTTAATGATGAGAACTGTAGGGAAAGTAGTGACTCTAAAATGGGTAAAAGCACATTGTGGGATTGAGGGCAATGAACGAGCCGATTGCCTTGCAAAAGAAGCAGCTAAAAGCGATTTGCCGCCATCGTATCATCAAGCTCCTTTATCGTATATTAATATGAATTTAAAGTTGGATTTCATCAAAAGATGGGATCACATATGGGTGACCTCAGCTAAGTCACCAAGCTTTCACAGATTTATACCACACATTTCAATTCACAATTACAGACACATTCACAGTAATGACTACAAACTTACCCAAGTACTTACGGAACATGGGAATACAAAACAATATCTTAAAAGATTCAACATTATACAAACAGACTTATGTGATGAAGACGGACAGGTTCAAAATTTTAAACATATAATATATGAATGTAAACGATTTGACAGACAGCGATTTGAGTTAATAAAAAGCATAATTATCAAAAGAGGAAATTGGCCTGAGACGGTACAAAAGTTATTTACTGAATTCAAGACAGACTTTCTTAGATTTATTAGATCGATCGACTTCGATTTACTAACCAGGGATGGGCAGCGTGGGTGATTTCTTTTTGGCTTTGTTGGATTGACTTTGTGTGTTTAATATTTAATTTTCCGATTTAATTTTTGTGTGTTTATTCTTTGTGTTTTTTTTTGTTAATGTATATAAATTTGAACTAAAAATGTAAATCATGTGAAACTAGAAAAAAAAACAATTGTAAACAAATGTAATTCATGTAGTATGTCTTTAAGGCATGGAGCATGAAGGAAAATCAAATAAACGATCCTTGTGTGGGGTTAAATAAAAAAAAACAAAAAAAAACAAAACAATATATATATATATATATATATAATATATATATATATATATATATATAGATATATATATATATGTATATATATGTATATATATATATATATATATATATATATATATATATAAATATATATTATATAATATTATATATATATAAATAGATAAAGAGATTATATAAAATGATTGCACTCATAAAATTAGTGGCGGGAAATGAAAACAATACGTAGGGGTAGGGATAGCCCATCTGAAGAAGAAGAAGAAGAGAAGAAGAAGAAAAAGTCTTTTTATTTATCAAAATTACAAAATATAAATTAGAGAATAATATTTTTGGATTTAAAACCGAAAATCAGACGTGCTACATGGTCTGTTGACCGTCAGAGGAGTCTGTGTTTCATAAAAAAATTATATTTCAGTCTATTTATATACAAATAATTAATAGGAAAATAAGAACAATTATATTTACAATTTAAAAGTTATACAAATATTTTAATTACAAAAACAGTGGTACCAAAATTGTCCAATTTATTAATTGTTAAATTCTCTGGTGAGCATTATTCTGTAGGAGAAAGCAGACTTGCAGTAATTTACCAATGCTATCCAATTGTTTCCATCTAATAAATCAATTACTTGATCCCGAGATAAATTTCTAGATTTTAACCATTTAATGCTAAATTCAGAGAGTATCGGACAAGCAGCCAGGAAGTGATAGAGATCTTCTGTTTCGTTTGTATTACACATGCTACAATTATTATTTGTTTGCTGGAAGTGTTTATAATTTAAGTTCAAAACATCAGCTCTAATTTTAATTACCCATCTGATCACCTCCAATGAGCTCTTGTCATCAATATAATTTACTGAAGTTAAATGAGGATAAAAAGTGAAAGTTTCAGAATTCTGAACATTAATTAAATATTGATTATATATGTCTTTCTGAATTTGAGTTCTTAGTAAATATAAATTAGCTCTCCATAGTTTAACATCATCACAGTTAGATCGATTTAAGTTGAAATTCGATAGCCCATCTGGTCAATAGTTTTATTTTTATTTTTTAGTCCTCATTTGACCAGCAGGAGAGGAGGACCACCATCAGTTGAGTGATTACCATTTTTATTGATCAATTTATAAAGATTTGATTTTAAATTGTTAAATATAAATTATTTTTTATTGTTTATTATAAATGTTTTTATTGTTGTTGGTAATTTTATTATTTTATCTAGCTTGATAAAGATCAGATAAAAGACCGAAACCGGTTGTGCAAAAGTGAGAAATAAATGGAATATATAAAAACACACACACAAAAAAAGTAATAACTGGAATTATTGTTTTTGTTTTTGTCCTTATTTAGCGATATTTTTTTTAATATGTGTTTCTTGATACGTTACTGTAAACATTGTGTTATACATATCTTTAAAACTGAAATAAAATAAGTAAAAACAACACTTTTCATACCAGTTAATTTATCCTAAAGTGTCATTACAGATAAAAGGGTAAGTGGATTCAGTTATATATATATGGAACAGATGCAGCACGCTGATATTTAGTTACAATGCTGGCGGCCGTGCTGTGTGTTGCGGCCTTGGGGCACCTCGTGCTAGGAGAGAGCCCCCAGGTCACCACCTCCTATGGTACCATGAAGGGGCAGGTCCTCAAGTCTAGGGATGGCAGGGACTACTTTTCCTTCACCAGGATACCTTATGCCAAGCCGCCTGTAGGAGAGCGGAGGTTCTTGGTGAGTATAGTGCATTCTCTTCCCATGTTTAAGGCAGCCTCTAGGCCGCATGTCTCCTCCGTGACGTAGTTGTGGTCTCCAAACGTTTTTTCGCGATATTTATTATCTAGCGCTAGATTAATTATCATTTAATTAGTCAAGTTACAACAATTTGAAAATTACTAGAATTAAGTTGAATATATGTATTTGTGAATGTCAATTTAGTGATAAATAGAAATAGAAACAGTAAAATATAAAGATATCGATACAGAAGGGAATGTATTTGAACACGTACAGAATTTTAGGTATCTAGGGTATACGATAACTAGAAAAAACGAAATCGAAGAGAATATTAAGGTTAGGCTGAAGGTGGGAAATGCTTGTTATTTTTCTTTGTCAAAATTACTTAGTTCTCGCCTCCTGCCCTAAAACTTAAAAATTAGAGTTTACAAAACGATTATCCTACCTACAGTTCTTTATGGATGCGAAACGTGGCCGCTTACAATAAGGGATGAACAACGGCTTAAAGTTTTTGAAAATAAAGTATTGCGCAGAATATTCGGACCGAAAAAGGACGAGTCAACCGGAGAATTTTGGCGGTTACACAACGCTGAATTGCGTGAACGGTATCCGGTTAATATAATTGAGGAGATTAAGTTGAGGCGAATTAAATGGGCAAATAAAATCGCTGAGATCAGTAACGAAAGAATTCCTAAAAAGTTAATATTCGCTGTACCGACTGGCGAAGCGAGGGTGGGTAGATTGCGTTAAGGCTGATTTGGCGGGGTAGAGTTTAGGCGGAACCCGGTGGATGGAAGAATGTGGACATCGATTGGTGGTGTCGGCATCGAACCTTCTGGTTCGCTAAGCCTTATTATTATTGTTATTATTAAAATATAAAGAATTGTTGAGGCCTCCATTAGCTTTAACTTTACTGCAGCCTCTGGTGATAAAGTGTTCCCTACCTATAAACTAAATAAAAAGTCCATAAATTTTACAAAACATAAATTTATTTTCTATTTTATAAGGAAATTAAGTCCGTAAAACTTGCCCCCACCCTAGATACACCAATGGCCCCTTTTCTGTTCTACATTATCTGAACAACGAACAAATATGATCGATGTTTGTCTTTTAAAAATCTATACGTTAAAGTACAGGCGGATATACGTTCTGAAGTCCAGAAGCCTCTCTTCCTCCCTCCCTTCTCCCCTCCCCCCAAAAAATAGTAAAATATATTTTATAAATAGATATAAAAAAAAAATTCTTTAAAAGTATTGTTCATCTAATTTCATTTAATAGGACTTCAAAAATCACTTAAACACCATTTCACAAAAGTGGTTAGTTTCTTTCTATCACTTACACAATAATAATTATAATAAATATAAAAAAAATCATTCGGGCTGAAGCCCCCCAAGAATTAAATCCTGGATCCACTATTGTGTCACAGTGCATACATTTTAAAATAATCATATATTATTATTTTGAATATTTATTTTATCTTTATCTTATTTTTTATCTTAGATCTCAGAGAAAGCAGATAACTGGACTGGGATATTGGACGCAACTCAAACCATCCCTCGTTGCCACCAGCTTATTTATGGACAAGAAGACTGCCTCTATCTGAATGTCTTCACTCCAAATGTAAGATTAGGTTTATGTGATATCAAGTCATTTATAAGCTTAAAAAAAATGTCTTTCACTTGTGAATTTGAGTTGTTTTTGCTTCAGATACCGTAAGATAGAGTAACTTTGGGACTAGGTGGGTAACTTTGGACAGCGGGTAAAATTTAGTTTGTGATGATTCCTTGGTGGATACACTGTGTTGGTTCAGTCTGCAAAAACATGCTTTGTGTAGGCATCTACTGCGCTACTACCTTGCGGCAGTTTGATAATCCCAGTTTACTTCACTCGTTGTGCAGTTAGGTTTTATTTATTTTTATTGCTTTTTAATTCTGGTTTTCATGAAACTTTCGTTTGAGCCTCAAGAGTAGTGTGCTGCAATGTATTAGCGTAGTACATGCCTACACAAAGCACGTTTTTGCAGACTGAACTAATACAGCGTATCCACCACGGAATCACTAAAAAATAAATTTTACCCGCTGTCTCAAACTTACCCCATCTTATGGTATAAATTTAATTCAGGAAGTCTTTAGACCTTGTAACATCCCAAAACTGAGCTTCATTTGGAAAACTGTAGCCAATCACGCTACAGCAGCTTCCCGTAAATATGCTTTACAGTCACTATTAATAAAGAGCAGGAACAATATTTTAAGCATATTGGAGCAGACGTAAGAGAAGACTGTTTTTCCCACTGACAACCATGTGTTGTCATATCTAGATCAAGTTGCATAGTTCTTTCATACTTATGTTTCTCAATAATACAGTCATTTGAAAACATATTGGACGAATGTTATGTGATATCAGGTATCAGGAACAGGAACAACATTCCTCTGGTATTATTAGCAGTAGTGTTGTCCAAATGCGAGACCGAGACTAGTCTTGGCCCTGCAAACGCAGCCTTGGTCATCGTTTAGGGGCGGGATGGCCGAATAGGCTAAAGCGTGTGCACTGCACCGCGAATCGCCTGGCAACCAGATATATGAAGATTTGAGAGACAAGAAAAGTACGAGTTCGCATCCCGGTGCCAGAGGGGATTTTAAATTCCCCGCCCCCACCCTCCGGCCCGGGAAAATCCCGTATAGCCTAAACGGCGAGGTAGGGAAGAACAAAAAAAAAAAAAAAAAAAAAAAAAGCCTTGGTCATGGTCTTGGTCTAGCGCAAGAGTCTCGCAGCAGGTCTCGCGGTTTCTTATTAGCTTATTACTATAGAGATATTACTTTAATTTCTTAGATAGAAGAAACCTAACTAAGCCCGAATGAAAAATTAGATGAGTTAAATGCGAAAGTATATTGGTTATACCAATTCTCTACTAACACTAACTAAATTTGTCAAATATTAGTAACTATTTTGCCTTAATTCTTATTCAAAAAATAATTTTTTTTACCAATCCTGTTCTTGATGTTGCAACAGTTAGGCGGCCTTGGTCTTGGTCTTGCAAAGTGCAAAATAAAGACCGATTTTGGGCAACACTAATTAGCAGTATAAATACTATTCTTAAACATCGCCATCCAAGTAGTAACTGTTATTCTCTTAACGTGATATTTTTTTATCAGGTGACAGGAAGGTTACCAGTTATCTTCTACATACATGGAGGTGGTTTCATAATAGGTTCTGCTGCTGATCTCGGATCCGCCAAATCTTTCATGGACGAAGATGTAGTTTTGGTTACAATTAACTATCGTCTTGGAACTATGGGTATGATGTAAATTAAAGTATACATGTACCCCTATTGCAGAGTCAAGTGACAAAGACTCACTTTGTTTGTCAATGATTTCTAGGATTCCTCAGTTTGGAAGACAATACTTTACGTGGGAACATGGGTCTTAAAGACCAAGCCCTGGCTTTGGAATGGGTCCATCAAGAAATCAGTGCATTCGGAGGGGACCCGAATCTGATAACCGTTGCAGGTGGGAGTGCTGGAGCGGCGTCTACGCACTTTCTTTGTGAAGTTCCGAGGACGAATGGTGAGCGCACTGTTTCATGAAAAAAATTTTTTATTTATTCATTTATTGTTTTCTTCTAATTATTTCTGTTTGAATGATTGCTTCATTGTTTATAATATTTAATTGCCAAGTCGATTTCCGTATGTGAAAATGGTACTTGCATATTTTCTTATATTTACTTTAAATGAACAAATAATTAAGGTGTGTGAATTAGACCACACGATAGAAGTGAAAACACCGACAAGGCGAGATTGATATTGTGAAATATAAATTATAACTAATAGGCTCATTATAAAGAGAATGAAATTTCCCTCGCTTACAGTATGCCGGTATGATGTTTAGTTTCTAAGATATTTTAATCCATATCTTCCATAAAACTCGTTATCATTTCGGCACTATTTTTTTCTTTTCGGCTCTCTAACTCGGCGTTGCGTTAAGATACCATTTTGAATAAAGCTCATTATTAAGAGGATAAATTGATGAATATTTTCCTAAAACATTTAAATTAGTCGACTCTAGCTAGCCGAATATACCTATATTATAAAGAGATAACATATTAGAGATCTTATAGCTTAATCTAATCCACTCTCAACAAAAAAAGTTCGAAACACGCCTAAAAAAGTTATCACATCAAAAATATAATTTTTTTTTTATTTTAATGAAATTTACAACTGTATTACATGAAAAATACAACAAGTAAATGTGACATGTACAACATGAAGAGACACTACCCATTCGTAGAACTCAAAAATTAAAGTTCTATATTAGAAGATCCCGAGGCCATCTCCTTTTCAGACGCCTCTGAGGGTTATCAGGGATCGACGAGGAAGCAAGATTTGAAACGAGAGGATTCGGATGGTTCTGGAGTTTGTTATGGAAGGATAGTTATCTGGATTGGGCCAAATCGGAAACATATGGAACATTAAGGTCTTTATTGATGATTTTATTCATGACAGAGTAAGGAGCGTTGAGGATTTTACGAAGGATTTTGGATTGTAAGGATTGGATGGTTTAGTTGAGACCCAAAGCTCAATTCCGTAAGTCCAAATAGGTCTTATTATTGTCATATATATGAGTCGTTTGTCATTGATTGAAAACTTAGAGCGTTTGTCTAGTAAGTGCTGCAGTAGTAGAAAACGTCGGGTGGCTTCTAGTCGTTTCAGTCTGGTATGGGGGTAAAAATATAATTTAGAAGCAGAAAACGATACACACGAATGATAATTTCGTGGAAAAATGATGAAACGTGATTTCAAAACTTAAAACCCATCTACGATTTCAACAAAACTGACGGGAAAAAAATTAATTTATTAATTAAAAAAGTTATTATTTGCTTTTCGACACTATTTTTCCCTTTTCGGGTCTCTAACACAGCGTCGCGTTAATACACTATTTTGAATATTAGTCTATTACAGAGAGGATGAAATGCTGAACAATTTACTCGCTTACAGTATGCAGGTCCGAGTTTTAGTTTTTGAAATATTTTAATCCTTATAAAAAAACATTTCAATTAGTCGACTTTAGTCGAGTTTATCCGAGCGTTAAAACTTCGGAAATCTGACAAATAAATCTACTTAACTCTCTGCAAAAAAGGTCTAAAACGCGCCTAAACAAATGTTCACTTAAATTTTTTTTTTTTTTTAATGTTTTTATTATTTCTTAATGATATTTACAACTGTATTAAATAAATACATCTAGTAAATGTGAACATAATGGATTTAATGGCATGAAAACACTTGCTGATTATCTACCCATTGGTAGCACTCTAATAATATGTCTACATTAGTAGATGAGGGGGTTATCTTCTTTCCAGACGCCTTGGAGGGTTATCAGGAATTGAAGAGGAAGCGAGGTTAGAAACGAGAAGGTTGGGATAATTCTGAAATTTATTATGAAGGGATAGGCATCTGGATTGGGCCAGATCTGAAATATAAGAAACATTAAGGTCATTACGGATGGTTTTATTTACAACAAAGTAGGGAGGACAGAAGAATTTACGAAGGATTTTGGATTGTAAGGATTGGATACTAGAGGAATTCGATGGTTTAGTGGAACCCCATAGCTCAACTCCGCACTTCCAAATAGGTCTTATTATAGTCAGGTATATGAGTCTTTTGTAATTAATTGGAAGTTTTGAGCGTTTGTCTAGTAAGTGCTGAAGTAATCGAAAACGTCGAGCGGTTTCTTGTCGTTTCAGTCTAGTAACTTAAAAAAAATAAATGAAATGTTGAAGAGAAGATTGGTTGGGGTGTTCAGTCAAATGCCTTGCGGGAATCTATTGTCTAACAAGCACTGATGAAGACCTGAACTTGAGACCAAAGCTTTGGCAAAAATAAAAATAAATACATATTATTTATTTTTACATTCACATTTATTTTTACTCTTACAATCTTCTCTTCAATCATTCACTACACTCTACCATCAATCCACAGCAATAAATGAAACGGTTCCGGCAACACAAAACAAGTGATATTATTATTTTAGGTCTTATCAAAGGCTGTATCAGTCAGAGCGGAGACGCCTGGTCGCACTGGGCAATCAATGAGCCTGGAGTATCCCGAAAAATGGCTTTGAAGATGGCTGAGACAGTAGGCTGTAATAATACAGGAGATCTACTTCGATGTCTGCAGAGCAAGCCAATTGAAGTTATTGGTGACGCTAGTTTGTTACAATATGTAAGTGGACAAAAATTTAATGTTTGGTATAATTTAAAAGTTCAAATATTTTATTACCCTGATCCATCTCTCCCAATACCACATCTATGCTGACGATTTCCAAATATACCTGTCCTTCCCCCCTTCTGACCTTGAAAGCTTCAAGAAGATTTAAATAGAATATGTGACTGGGCAGGAGCTAACAAGCTGAAGTTGAATGCGGAAAAGACCAAGGCAATCCTAATAGGCTCGAATCACCTCCTCAAAACTGTTTCTAACTTTCCAATCCTGTTCCTACATGATAATCCCATCAAATTTTATCCCACCAACAAAAACCTTGGAATAATCTTTGATCAAACCCTTTCCTGGAAAAAACATGTGTCCAATATCTCCCTACGTACCTTTTCCACCCTGAAACACTTAAATAGCCTGCGACACCTTTTTCCTTTTGAAATCCATAGACTCCTAGTCACCTCCTTAATATTTCCCCACTTCGACTATTGCTGTACGGTATATGGAGGCGTCTCTAGGGATCTCGAGGCGAAACTACAACGTTGGATAATTTGCTTTGTACGATTCATCTTCGGGATATAAAGAGACGCCCCTGTTTCCTGTTTTTATGAAGAGATGAAGTGGCTTTATCCTTCCCACCGCCGTAAGTATTTCCTAGCATCCTTCCTCTTCCAAGTAATTCACTCCCGCCTTCCTTCATACATCGCCGAGCTCCTTCAATTTAAATTCTCTGTCCACTCCCGGTCTTCTGATTTATATATAATGGCCCACCGAACTGCTGCTTTCGATAAATCTTTTATTATTCGATCCTCTTCCCTATGGAACTCCATCACTCCCTACATCCGTCAATCCAAAACCCTTCCTACCTTTAAATCCCGACTGTTTAATCATTTCTTATCCATCCAGCCATCATAAAATTGTGAATTGTTACTACTGTAAATATGTATATCAATTATTAGATCGTTCTTTATTATTTTTACTTCATGTTTATTTTCAATTTTTTATTTGTTATTATTAACTGATGTAAATTAGAAAGTAACTTATAATTTCTCTTATTTTTTTTTTCATTTTCTATTTTTTTTTACTATTTAATCAAACCATATTATTCTTTATGTATCTCTGAGGCTCCTAAGCCCACATTTTTGTCTCTCTGTATTATTCTAAAGGGACTCGTCCCAGAATAAATAAAGCATTATTATTATTATTTAAAGTGAAAAAATTAGATTCAAAAATGCTTTGTAGATTTCGAATACTTTTGACACTCAGTAAACACGTTAGGAAAATGCAAAAACGTTTTAGATCATGTCATTATTTCTCTCATTCCCGGGTGGTAACAATAACCAAATATATGGTTTAATAATAAAGTTATAAACTTAAAAAAATTATTACACAATAGTTTATTTTCAAACAATTTAACATTACTTTCCACGTAACATTAAGGGAAATAAATAAAAAGGGATTCCTAACATTGGCTTAAATAATTTTATTTTCTATCATTGATAATTTGTTAAAAAAAAAAAATACAATATTGCTTCAGTTGATGTCAAACGTATAAAAAATTAAAACAAAAGATAAAAGTTTGCAGTAGAACATACATAACATATTTAGAACACCGTATCTTTGTAGCGAATGGTCCAATTTCCATTTTTTTTTTATGTTTTAGAATATTTCGTAACCTTTTAAAACCATATACAACATCAACAAGAAAGTGTATGTTTACTTCTTGAGTTATTCGGAAGTCTAATTTTCCGTAACTTTTTTTCTAGCGTCTTTTCGTTGAAGTACGTTATATAGATAAATTTAAAGGGCATCGAGCAGAATACTTTAGCTAAATTTCATTGAAATTTGTACATTCGTTTATAGTCCGTAGAACAGACCCCTTTCTATCAAATTATTAACATACGCCTGAAACTTTGTAAATAGTTTCATATCATCGTAACCTACAACTATTTTAGTTTCGAAAAATCTTGGAATTTGAGGGTTTTCAATCTGGAAGGGGACAAACTTTGTATATTTTATTAGGTATTAAAAACTCGTAAATACCCATTTGATTTCTATTTGGATCGTAAGATAATTTGATCACAAAATCGATAAAAAATGTGGCCTACAAAAATATTGGCCCTTAGATTACGATGAGATGAAACTATTTACAAAGTTTCTGGGGGATATTAATAATTCGATAAAAAGGGGTCTGCTGTACCGCGGACTATTAGGTGCTACAATCTATACCAACACGGGTTTTTCGGCCGTCATCTTGGAAGAAAAGGGTGGATGGCAATGTCAAGGTATGAGGATCATTCTATGGTGATCTCTGACTTTGATTCCAAATTTTTAAAAATCGGCCCAGTAGTCTCGGAGAAAAGAGGCGGACGATTTTT